AATAGCAGTGAGAAAGAAGATGTTCTTGAACCTGTCGGTGAGTGTGTTCAAGCTTCTGTTCTTCTGCCTGACAGAAGGGGTTGGGAGAAAGTATTACCAGGTGGGAGGGGCCTTTGATGACGTTGGCTGCCTTTTCACAGCAACGAGAAGTGTAGATGGAGTCCATGGATGAAAGGTTGGCTTGCATGATGGTCTGGTCTGTGCACACAACTTTCTGTAGTTTCTTACAGTCCTGGGCACAGCAGTTGCCATACCAGGCCGTTATGCACCTGGATTGAATGCTTTCTATAGTGCATCTGTAAAAGTTGGTGATATTCCTTATGGACAACTTATCCCTGGGATTGACATCTTTTCCCAGATAGAATAAACTGGAAAGGGGTGTTAGGATGGGATAAGGGATTTACTTTGGGGAGGGACCAGAGGTTAGATAGAGTAAGGCAAGAGATGAAGAACGTTAGAATGGAGTGCACTGGAGGTGGGTAGTCTCTGGGTGAGTCTAATACCTGTGATCCATCCGGAGCAGAATTGGAAGGGAGGGAATCTGAGGAAAATGCGGATACATAGTGAACAAGTGGAGTCATGAGTTGAAGTTGATAGATGCAAGGTCTTGGGGATACACAGGCCCAATTTAAGAGGAAAATATTTTGTGTGTTACTCCACATTGACATATAACTGGTTACTGGAAAAACCTTTACCGATTGCAAATCTGAACTCTCTCTGGTTTTCCTAACCATGAAACAAAGAGTGTGAGTCCATTGGCTTTGCTGCCTGCTGTACTAATACAACTTCTGTTTCTTCAGTCTCCTCCCATTAAGGAAGAAGTGGTGTCGCCCAGTACCTCACCAATCTCCACAGATGAGGGCCACCATTTAGAAAGACAACAGGTGAGAAGTGCAATTGGCCACTGGCTGTTGGTGTAAGGTTGCCTTTGTCCTGTCTGTCTCACGGTGGAGTGACAACCGCACTTCCCCAATATTAATGGGTGGAACGGTGGCACAGTGGTTAGCACTGCTGCCTTACAACACCAGGGACCCAGGTTCAATTCCACCCTCGGGCAACTGTCCGTGTGGAGTTTGCACATTCTCCCCGTGTCTGCATGGATTTCCTCCCACAGTCTGAAGATGTGCAGGTTAGGGTGGATTGGCTATGGGAAATTGCCCCATAGTGTCTTGGGATGTGCAGGCTAGGTGGACTAGCCATGGTAATTCAGAGGCTGGGTTTGCCTGGGATGTTCAGAGGGTTCAATGAGCTGAATGGCCTGTTTCTACACTATAGGGATTCTATGATAATACAATAACTGACATTATGTCCCCCAGTACCTCTGTGTCATCAGCTTTGGTTGCTTCATAGCTGTATGAAACGGCACACAGCCTTTGTACAAAGAAGGGAGGAAATAAAGAAATCAGTGATGAGCAGCTTTCTTTTTCTATTATTTGTTCTGGGGATCTGAACTGTGCTGACAAAGCCAGCATTTATTCCCCATGTATAATGACCCTTAAGTAGACAGTGCTGATTGATACACAACAAAGAGACTTCCTTAACAATTTCAGAGGCAAGATTTTGCTGTGGGTCTGGAGGCCAGACTGGGTAATGATGGCAGAATTCCTCCCATGGAGGACAAAATTGGCAAATTTTAACTTATTTTAATATACCTGTGTGGATATGTTGTAACACATCTACGGGACAGGGTAGAATTGAACCTGGTTCTCCTGGTCCGGGGTAGGACGTTACCTCTTTGCCATAACAACCTCTAATCTGTTCTTTACAACAATTCAATAGTTTCATTGTCTTTCATAGAGTCAGAGAATCATAGAGAGGTACAGCATGGAAACAGACCCTTCGGTCCAACCCGTCCGTGCCGACCAAATATCCTAAATTAATCCAGTCCCATATGTCAGCATTTGACCCATATCCCTCTAAATCCTTCCCATTCATGTATACATCCAGGCCAAGCAGCATCATAGGAGCAGAAAGGCTGACGTTTCGGGCCTAGACCCTTCATCAGAAATGGGGGAGGAGAAGGGGGTTCTGAAATAAATAGGGAGAGAGGGGGAGGTGGATAGAAGATGGATACAGGAGAACATCTATCCATTTATTTCAGAACCCCCTTCCCCTCCCCCATTTCTGAAGAAGGGTCTAGGCCCAAAACGTCAGCCTTCCTGCTCCTATGATGCTGCTGGGCCTGCTGTGTTCATCCAGCTCTACACCTTGTTATTTCAGATTCTCCAGCATCTGCAGTTCCTACTATCTCTCATGTATACATTCAGATGCCTTTTAAATGTTGTAATTGTACCAGCCTCCACCACTTCCTCTGACAGCTCATTCCATATACACACCCACGCTCTGTGTGAAAAAGTGCCTCTTAAGTCCCTCTTAACTCTTTCCCCTTTCACCTTAAACCTCTGATTCCAAATTTACTATTAGATTGAATTTTAAATTCTTTCAGCTGTGGTGGTTCCTGTTTTTGGAACATTATCCCGGGCCTCTAGATTACCAGCTGACTAACACGGCTACTGTGCTATCAAATATATTTAATTTTTAAAGAAACTAAGTAGATGTTCAATTCTAGGCTACCATGAAGTAACTTAAAAGTGTAAATGCTCAAAATAACTAATGAGCACTCCAACTTCTGTTTGTCTTTAGACTTTCCAACAAGTAAAAATTAACAGAGAGAGTCGACTCAATGGTGAGTGTTTAAACTGAGAAATGTCAAGGCGGTAGATGTGTGCGTGTATTTTGTGTGTTAGTTAATATGTGTTGGGCGTGTGTGTGTGTGTGTGTATGTGTGTGTGTGTGTTTATGTGTGTGTGTGTATGTGTGTGTTTATTTGTGCGTGTGTGTGTGTATGTGTGAGTGTGTGTGTGTGTGTGTGTATGTGAGTGTGTGTGTATGTGAGTGTGTGTGTATGTGAGTGTGTGTGTATGCGAGTGTGTGTGTATGTGAGTGTGTGTATGTGTGTATGTGAGTGTGTGTATGTGTGTATGTGAGTGTGTGTGTTTATGTGTGTATGTGAGTGTGTGTGTTTATGTGTGTATGTGTGTGTGTTTATGTGTGTGTGTGTGTGTGTTTATGTGCGTGTATGTGTGTTTGTGTGTGTGTGTGTGTGTGAGTGTGTTTGTGTGTGTGTGTGTGTGTGTGTGTGTGTATGTGTGTGTGTGTGTTTATGTATGTGTGTGTGTTTATGTGGATATATCCAAATGTGTGGTATGTCTTTAATTTGCTCATTGAATGTGGACATTGCTAGCTAGATCCTGAATTACCTTTTTAAAGTGGTGGTAACATCCCAGCTCCTGTACTCAATGCTCTAACCGATGAAGGCAAGCGTGCCAAATGCCTTCTTCACCACCCTGTCTACCCGTGATGCCAGTTTCAAGGAACTATGTACCTGCCCCCCAGGTCTCTCTGTTCGACATCACTGCCCAGGGCCCCATCATTAACTGTGTAAGTCCTGCCCTGGTTTGCCTTACCAAAATACAACAGCTCGCATTTATCTGCATTAAACTCCATTTCTATTCCTTGGTCCATTGACCCAGTTGATCAAGGTACCAGTTAACTGGTAGTCACTGATAGGATTAATCTCACACTGCCTGCCCTACTCCCTAATGGGCAGTCTGCTCCACAGGCCCAAACCACTCCAACTGGTTGAGAATTGGCCAGTTCAGTCGCATGAAAACCCACATCAGAAGCACATGTCCTTGAGCAGACATCATCCTGAAATCAAGGGACAGTTGACAAATCACTGACACTGCATCGCCTTGACCTGACGGTGAAGAGTAACGGTTTATTTGACAGCTGAAAGTGATTTGTAATTAGTACTGCAGTGCTTTATAATAGGTGGACCCAGTATTATCTAGAAACCCTTATTGGATGTGTCAGGAAATTCCCTGCATTTAACTCAGTACTGACAGCTCTCCCATACACCCCAGTGTAAAATCAGAGGTTTTGGTACTTAAACTAAAATCATTTTGTCAACTAAACCTTATTAATTCCGGGCATAAATGCAGAAACGAGTTAGTAATTTTTTATCATTTAGCCTATTTTTCCTGATCAACCTGTTCAGAGATGTCATTACACATCTCTGGAGCAGGTGGGACTAGCACCCAGGCCTCCTGGTCCAGGGGTAAGGACACTACCACCGCACCTCAAGAGGACCTCTGGGAGTTGGGAATGCAGAAACTGACTTGAACAAGATCAGCTGTTCTCCTGCAAGCTGATTGTGACTTCTGGTAGCTATGGACGAGACCGGAATAGCTGGGAGATAACATCCTGACTCATTGTGTTTTTAAAAATGTCAGCACTGTCTTATTCAGCATGCAGGCAAGTTGAAACATTTGCGATTCCTTCTCCATAACTCTATCTAGCTCTCTGATTTCTGCAATCCAATTAGTAGCCATCTCCATTTGTTTTCAATGTTCAGCACAAAGACTGTTTCAAAGCAGAGACTCCAGTTTGCTTTCAAGCCCAGAAGAAATATTGAACCATTAGTTTCAAATAACACAATGAGAATTAGTGCTGTCCTTGTTCTGACCCAGACTCTTGCTATCAGATTATTTTAATGTCATGTGAAACAGTCAATGAGTCTTCATCATGGCAAAAATAGATGTTGGATTACGCACTGCACATGACAGCACTAATAACAGAACATCTGACCAACTTCACGTTATGCCTGGAAATGTTCGAAGGAAGAATTGTATTGTGTATTTGTGCCTCTGAGTCCAAGGGTTATGTGTTCGGTCCCCATTCCAAAGTTTTGAAAATGCAGTGTAGGCTGACACTTCATGTGGAGTCCTGGGAGAAGGCTATATTGTCAGAGGAGTTGTGTTTTTCTTTCCAAATGTGACACAGGGAGGCGCTGGGGAGAATATGGCCTCATGGTATTGTCACTGGACTGTTAATCCAGAGACCCAGATAACGTTCTGGGGAGCCAGGTTTGAATCCCACCATGGCAGATGGTGGAATTTGAATTCAATAAAAAATATCTGGAATTAAGAATCTAACAATGACCCTGAATCCATTGTCGGAAAAACCCATTTGGTTCACTAATGTCCTTTATGGACGGAAACTGCCATCCTTACCTGGTCTGGCCTACATGTGACTCCAGACCCACAGCAATGTGGTTGACTCTTGACTGCCCTCTGGGCAATTAGGGATGGGCAATAAATGCTGCCTAGCTAGAGACACCCTCATCCTGTGAATGAAATAAAGGAAAAAAAATTAAACTAAGATGCCGTCTTCCCTCTCAGGTGGAAATAAAAGATCTCACGGTATCATCCAAAGAACACCAATGCCATAAAGGGGGAAAGGTTTTGTCTATTAACTCTCAGCTTTCCTACAATTTCGCTAACATCTGGTTGGAGGTAGATAGCTCAGGAGGCTCCCCTATTGCCAGTGATCGATACAAAGCACTGACTGGGTACTCTTCATCATTGAAGAGGGACGAAGATATCTTTAGGTCACTTCTTCTGACCAAACGTTTTGGAAAAGATGGCAATATTTTCCTTGGTGCATTTAATACAAAATCCTTGTTCTTATTTGCAAAATGTGCCGTGGTCGCACCTGTCTTCCTCTGCTTCTCCCTCCAGCCCTGAGTATATGGCAAGATGGCAGAATCTTAATGTGAAGCTCTGGAGGTTCAGAGCGGATTAGAATAAGCGTTTTTCACCCAGATGGCATTGGGAATCTGGAATGCACGATCTGAGAGGCAGGAAACCTCCCAGCGTTTAAAAAGTACTTGGATGAGCACCTGAAATATCATACTATTCAAGGCTATGGGCCACGTGCTGGAAAGTGGGATGAGCGTGGATGGGTCAGTGCAGACTCGATGGGCTGAGGGGCATCTTCTATACAGTATGACTCTGATTCTATCCCAGCTCGTAGCATCTTCCTGATTGTGTACCCGTCCCCCTGAGCTACCCCACCCAGCAAGGTTCAGTCACTGCATTGTGGCCTCCTTTTGTCTGTGCGATAACTCTCCCCCCATTGAAAAATCTCCGCCAAGGCCTGCCAGCCCAAACTAGGCCTCACCTCCCTCTTGATTCTAGTTTACTCAACACCCCAGATGACAGAGCGTGAGCTGTGCCTGGCAGACATTGGTAAATGCACCCGCGTGCCCAGTGGGTGTATTTGTGTTGCCCTTTGGGACAGGGCTTGACCCTATTGTTTGCCGTTGCCCTAAGCCGCCATCTTACACCTTGTCCTATTTTCTCTTCCAGCAAGGGCAAAGAGATGCAGGTGGATCAGACCCTCAGACGAAGATCAGGTATGTGTGATTGTTTTGCTGGAACAAGGATAGTGAAGAACCCATTCATGTGAAGAAACGTAGGGTTCAATTTAACGCCCAAGGACAATGAGGGAAGTTAAAATCACAACAAGGTCTTTCTCATTAGATCTGACCAGGGCAGCGTTTTTGGAAATGGTTTGTTTTTGGCCAGTGCACAATGTCCTCACACCAGGCAGGGCTGAGGACCTGTTAATATGTCTCAGACAAGCAAACACAGCCTGTAATTTTATTTTAACCCCAGGCTTCATGGGTGAGGTGCCAGCTGCGCCCAGGAAAGCAGCTACAGAGTAGATCCACGCTCAGGAATGGCCCAGAGAGGTGGTTTCCAAAGCTGCTTGCAAGGACTCCTTGTCAGTCAGGAGATGCAGCCATATTCCTCCAGGAATATTCCTCTGGGCAGCTGTCGGAGACCAACTGGGACATTGTGATCCCAGATTCCCACTCATCTTCCTTCCAGTACGTTCCCATTTGGAGTACCTGTGATGGTCTCAGCACCTCGCCCTAAGGTGACACACTCTAACAATGTGCAATAATTCTCTTAGATCACACTAAGAGTGTAATAGAATACCCCAATATTACTCAGAAATGACAACAATTAAAACAAAACCTGAGCGATAAAATCCTGCTCTGCCGCCATGGCTAAGTAACAGCATCCAAGTCCCACTCCAGGACTTGAAAACAAAATTTCAGGCTGACGCTCGCAGTGCAGTTCTGAGGGAGTGCCGCACTGTCAGAGGTACTGTCTTTCCAAAGCATTTTAAACCAAGGTCCTCTCGTTTGGGTATCAAATACTGTTGAGCATTATTTCGAAAAGCAGGGGAGCTCTTCCTGGAGGCCTGGTCAAGATTTTCATCTACACAGTTAACGACACAGAAAGCAGATTTGTCAGGTTATCATCACGTTGCTGACTGTGGGAGCTTGCAGTACACAAATTTAGCCCTTGCGCTTCCGATGTTACAACAACGTCAACACTTCACGAAGTAGTTTATTGACCGTGAAGGAGTCAGAGAGTCATACAGCAGGGAAACAGACCCTTCAGTCCAACTCATCCAGGCCAGATTTCCCAAATTAATCTAGACCCATTTGCCAGCATTTGGCCCATATCCCTCTAAACCCTTCCTATGCATATCCCCATCCAGATGCCTTTTAAATGTTGTAATTGTACCAGCCTCCACCACTTCCTCTGGCAGCTCATTCCATACACGCACCACCCTCTGTGTGAAAAAGTTGTCCCTTAAGTCCCTTTTATATTTTTCCCCTCTCACCTTAAACATATGCCCCTCTAGTTTTGGGCTCCCCCTACCCTTGGGAAATGACCTTGTCCATTCACTCTATCCATGCCCCTCATGATTTTATAAACCTCTATAAGGTCACCGCTCAACCTCCTACGCTCCAGGGGAAAAAAAGTCCCAGTCTATCCAGCTTCTCCCTATAACTCACACCCTCTAGTCCCGGTAACATCCTTGTAAATCTTTCCTACACCCTTTCCAGTTTAAAACATCTTCCTATAGCAGGGCGACTGGAATTGTATGACTTTGTAGCATGCAGAGGTGGTGAAAATTGTTTCAGAAGTTCCTCACTGTTGTCTGTCTGAGTGGCTGGGCCAGTACTTATCTACTTTTATTCTGATCTGTCCTGTGGCAGGGAGACAATAATTTGTAATTGCTTCATTTCTCTCTCTCGCTCTCTCTCTGCTACAGTGGGTTCCCTCTGGTGTCCCGTGGCCCCAGGACCTTCCTGTTTTCTCAGCAGCTCCGCAATCCCTCACTCAAAATTATGGTGCCAAGTTTCACACGTGCTCTAGCAATATCCACTTCACCACCCAACCACCTCTCTCGACTTTTAGATAAACACATGAATATGCAAGGAATGGAAGGATATGGACCAAGGGCAGGCAGAAGGGATCAGTTTAATTTGGCATCTTGTTCAGCACTACATCGTTGCCTTTTCCTGTGCTGTACTGTTCAATTTTCTATCTGATTTAGTGTCAAGCCTTCTCCCATTACACTCCTGGGGGTCGCCTTGGGGCACTTTGTTTTAATGAAGGTGTGATTTAATTTTCGCATTGGTGTGTGTTCAATGTAATACAGTTACATTCTCATTTGCAATCTTCTCGAGTGCAATGAAGTGTTTGAGTTTGCTAATCCACGCAGCGCAGGATTAGCCACACATCTCCTTGTCTACCAGACGTGCAATCTTATGATCCCTGCTACCTTTCTGTAAGCATTACCACTTCCTTGGCCAGTTTGTGTAACTGCGAGCAAAGAGCCCTGTCACAGCCCAGTGTTGTGTTATGTCTTGCTCTCTCCTCTGCTTTGCAGATTGATGGTCCCTATCTTAAGGAGCCGAGGTTCCTGGACACAGAGGACGAAAGCCCGAGTGGAACTCACTGTGTGGAACATGCATGGCACAGCCTCAGCAGGAACAGCACACAGCAATTCCACAAGCTGAGAGGTAGGTGGCAGAAATGAGCTAAATCTCCGTTCCCAAGTTGTGGGACATTGACTAGAATGATACATCTCTGTGCTGATCTTTTAGAAATGTCACAGTTTGCAAATCAGCCGTCTCTTCTTCCCCAGCACCGTGCAGTCGGTTCTGAAATAACACGATAGTTGCTTTCCTGTGCAACTTTGTAGAAATAATGGGGCCGATAGGAAACTGGGGTTATGGTCTGACCGCCAAAAAAAATTTTCACTCAAAATCGCCTAAAAATTACCCAAAAGCCAAACACAAAGCATAGCACAATTTGAATAAATGTTTAATTCATACCTAATCGTGAAATAAAAGTAAATTTAACGCTTTACCTTGAAGAAAAGGATGACTTGATGGAGGAGGAGTTTGTATTGTACCGCGCACAGAAAGCACTTCACGACAAAGCCTGCGAAATGATCACATGATGCCGGCACGGTCACTCTCTCGGCGCTAACATCGTACGCATTCACCACGAAGCCTGGAAAATGATCATGTGATGTCAATTCCTACTCCTCCGCACACTGAGGGAATCGCGTTACATCCAACACAAGTTCGCGTTTAAGAAATAGTGCTCCCCCTATTCGTCAGTCACGTTACAGCCAAATTGTGCTGGAACACGCGTTATAGCAGATTTATCAGTTCTGGTTGTCGTTCAATTCCACTCTCCCTGCTGTAGGAAAGATATTGTGAAACTTGAAAGGGTTCAGAAAAAATTTACAAGGATGTTGCCAGGTTTGGAGGGTTTGAGCTACAGGGAGAGGCTGAATAGGCTGGGGCTATTTTCCCTGGAGCGTCGGAGGCTGAGGGGTGACAGTCATGAGGGGCATGGATAGGGTGAATAGCCAAGGTCTTTTTCCCAGAGTACGGGAGTCCAAAGCTAGAGGGCATAGGTTTAAGGTCAGAGGGGAAAGACCAAAGATGTGCAGGTTAGGTGGACCGATGATGTCTGTAGTGTCCTGGGGTGTGCAGGCTAGGTGGATTAGCCATGGGAAATGCAGGGTAACAGGGATGGGGTGGGATGTTTTCTGGAGGATCAGTGTGGACTCAATGGGCTGAATGGCCTGCTTGCACACTGTAGAGATTCAAAGTTCTAAGGGGAAAGATATAAAAAGGGACCTGAGGAGCAATTTTTTTCATGCAAGGGTGGTGCGTGTATAGAATGAGCTGCCAGAGGAAATGGTGGAGGCTGGTACAATTACAACATTTAAAAGGCATTTGGATGGGTATATGAATAGGAAGGGTTTGGAGGGATATGAGCCAAATGGGATTAGATTAATTTAGGATATCAGGTCGGCATGGACAAGTTGGACCGAAGGGTCTGTTTCCATGCTGTATGACTCTATGACCATACTGGCCTTTTCTGAAATGATTAACTCCCACATCAACATTCAAACTGCTGCAAGTTATTTCTGATGCTATTTGTACGTTGCCAATGTTACAATAAATAACGAACGAAATTATCTGCCACAGGATCAAGCTCTTGCACAACACAGAGTTTGACAAGTAGAGACAGCGATGGAGATCTCGACACTGACAGAGATGAGCTATCACTCTTCACTAAGTTTAAGTATCCTTCATGTGAGATTTCTGAACCAATCCTGACCGAACAGCGCATCTTAAAACAAAACCTCAGTACTTTGCTGTCTCTCAGTATTGGCGAGCTAAATTTGAAGTGTCTGTGTCATAGGGCACAGTGTTTAAGAAATATTCTGCTAGATTACACCTGCGCTGAACTCAGATGCAGCAGCTAGTGTTGGAAATGCCTTATAATCTCAATCTAGAAATACCGGGAAAGCCTAAAAAAATACTGAAGACTTCCAAACGTTCCTGTGTCAATGTGAAGGCAAATAGTTTCTCAGTCATGCAAAGTAATTGAGAATGTTTATCTCTGGTTCTTAAGGGTTACTGGCGAGAGTGAGGAAGCCTGAGAATGAGGGAGGCAGAAAAATGTGGTGCATTTTTCACGAGACTAGAGCAGATAAAAAAGAGAACTGACAGGAGCGTTTAACATCATGAAGGCAAGGGACAGAATAGATGTTCCCAATGACTGTAGAGACCAGAATGATGGGACGCAGATTGAAGATCTGAGGTAGTAGATTGTATGACCAGAGGCAGTGACTAACATGGTAGAACAGTTTGGATAAGCATTGAAAGAAAAGAGAACAGAAGGACATGGCAGTAGGGTCTGCTTGTGGGATTGGAGGAGGGGAAACAGAATGATGAGAGCTGCCTCAGTATTGTAATCCCTACACAATTCCTGCCCTCAGTGTTGTTCCTACTGCATGTAAGCACATTTTACTCTTGAGGCAGACGGTTTTCCCATGCACAATGTGCAGTGTTTGCATCTCCTTCTATTAACACCAACGGATTTAAATGATCACATCCAGTGCCTCATATAAAGCAAATTACATCCATGCACCGCCCCGCCCCCCCACCCCCCCCCCCCCCACCCTCCACCACCTCAACCCCTGTGGGGCAACGCAACACATGACACAAGGCATCAGATTCAGATTCCATGAGAGGGAGAGCACCATGATGAGGATAGATTGGTTAGAGTCGACACCATCATCAGCAAGTGTGTCTCCATTGGACCCAGCTTTCCCAATCTCTCCTTAACCAGTGCTTTGTACAGTTGTTCAGCAGCACAGGGCCCGAATGGCGAGGCACAGAAGCTGGTAGAAGCGCAGGACCAGCACAATGTGGTGATAAGGTAAGTTCCACCCTGTGAGCGATAGAAATAAACAGGGCTACCATTAGTTAGTGAGTACGAATGGCTTGTCGTGTTAGCAAGGGATTGGAATCAAGTTGGAGAATGGGGGTATTCTGACAGGTTGCTTGAGGCTGTTGGATTGCACTTGACTGTGTTAGTGATGGGTCAGTCTGGTCTCACCAGCTGAGACGGCCCTCTCTCCCCCACTATGAACCATTTTTTTATTGTTGGGCTGAGAGAGAGCTGAACAAAGAGAAAAACCCCATCGTAGATTCATAGAATGCTGTTACAGCTTTTGGTCAGAGTGATTTAGCTAGACCTGCTCATAGAACATAGAACATAGAACAATACAGCACAGTACAGGCCCTTCGGCCCACCTTGCTGTGCCAAACTTTTACCCGAATCCTAAGGTCTATCTAACCTCCACTCCTACCTTATACTATCATCCATATGCCTATCTAATAGCTGCTTAAATGCCCCTAATGAGGCCAACTCCACTACCCTCTCCGGCAATGCATTTCACGCCCCTACCACTCTCTGAGTAAAGAACCTACTTCTGACGTCTCCCCTATATCTACCTCCACTCACTTTAAAACTATGCCCCCACGTAATAACTACCTCCACCCTAGGAAAAAGTTTCTGGCTGTCCACTCTATCTATACCTCTGATCATTTTGTACACCTCTATCAAGTCACCTCTCATCCTTCGTCGTTCTAAAGAGAAAAGCCCCAGCTCTCTCAACCTTTCCTCGTAAGACCTTCCCTCCATTCCAGGCAACATCCTGGTAAATCTCCTCTGCACCTTTTCCAACACTTCCACATCGTTCCTGTAATGTGGCGACCAGAACTGGACACAATACTCCAGATGTGGCCAAGAATCCCTACAGTGTGAAAGCAGGCCATTTGGCCCATCAAGTCCCTCTGAAAAGCATCCCACCCTAACCTGCACATCTTTGGACTGTGGGAGGAAACCCACGCAAACACAGGGAGGCTCTACACAGACTGTCGCTCGAGGGTGGGATCGAACCCGATTCCCTGGTGCTGTGAGGCAGCAGTGCTAACCACTGAGCCACCAGGCCACCCCATACTTCACTTTGCAAACTCTTTCAATTCCCTTTTGAAAGTCACGATTGAACCTGCCTTGTTCACACTCCCAGGGTGTGCAATCTGGACTCACTGTGTAAAGGCTTTTTTTCTCATTGGGTTCCCTTCGTTTCGTCAGTCACTTCAAAACGTTGGCTCTTCAGCTGTTGGCCTTTGGGGATCAGAATCTCTCTGCCTACTCCCTGTCGGATCTTCAGGATTTGAGACACCTCTATCAAATCGCCTTCCCACATTCCCTCAGCTTCTCCGCTCTATCCGTGTAATGGGAGTTCCTCATCCCTGGAGTAATTTGTCTCGATGTTTTCTCCTCTCTCTCTAAAGCCTCCATATCGTTCCTCAAGTTGAACATGATGAGGTCAAACACGCATTTTATAAAGTTATCAGCAGGAAGGAAGCTCAGGAGCTCACTGTCCCTTAAATACATATACATAACTCAAACCTCCTTTGGCTTAATAACTGCTTTCTTTAAGGCACCTTTAGCCACTCTGGTATAAATGTGACTCCATATACACAATGATGTGATTGACTTTCAATTACCCTCTGGGAAATTAGGGATGGACTGGTCTAGCCAATGGTGTCCACATCCTATGAAAGAATATAAAAAAAACCTGATCCCCATTGTTATTAAACAGATGCATGTTCCTAAGTTAAAAAGTCCAGCAAAATGTTAATGGCTCCATAAGGCTGTGGGACAATGTTTTGGATTGTAGCTGGAATGCTTTTAATGGTGAAAAGTTACAGGCATAAGGCTTAGAATCCTAGAATTTGACCCAACAGAACGAGGCCATTCGACCCATCATGTCTGTACCAGCTCCTGAAAGAGCTACCCGGCTAGTCCCAGTCTCCAGTCTTATCTCCATAGCCCTCTAACTTCATCCCTTTCAAATATCAATCCAATCTCTTTTGAAACTTCCTATGGAATTTCCTTATAGAGAAAGAAAGGTCTTGCATTTATATGTCACCTCTCATGACCTCAGTACATCCCACAGTGATTTACAGCCAATTAAGCGCTCCCAATTAAGGCTGGATGGCTGGTTTTGCGATGCCAACAGCGCAGGTTCCATTCCCGCGCCACCTCCTCGATCTCACCCTCTCGCCTGAGGCCTGGCGACCCTCAGGTTAAATTCATCGCTGGATTTCTCTGGGATCATGGCAACTTTAGCTCGTTTAAAGTCCCCTCGAATAGATGGTGGCGCTCCCTCGCTGGAGCATCAAGCTGGGCTTGCGTGCTTCAGTCTTGGGATTGGAACTCGGAACAGACGGTAAACAGCAGGGAGGGGATCCCGTGGACTTTGGGCATTATCCTCAGGGTCTTTGTGGGTCCACTGGGCTCAAAGGGATCCCATTGTACAAGAGTGGACCTAGATTGTGGTAATATAGATGTGGTCTTGATGTACAATTCACATTCCAACAGATTTCAGCTTTAACCTGTTGCATCCTCTACAGAATGGTTAACCCAGTGGTGGACAGAGGCGTAACCTCAGACATCTTGAAAGCCCGGATCAGTGAGCTCACACAGAAGCTGTTACAGAGGGAAACCTACAGGTGCCACGTGTGTATGGTAAGAAGCCTGGCCACTCGCTGCGAAACACTATGATTCCAATATTTCTCCTTCCTCTCCCAAAGGCGTCCCCTCTGTATGGCCTTCCCCTCTCCCTGGCGGCACTGAGTTCGGTTGGAAGACTCCATCCAGCTGATGCCCCTAATGAGAATTCACAGAGCGGAGATCCGCACCATATCAGCGTAGTGGCCGTGCGCAAGGTACAAATTAGTCTTCCCAAATGCCCGGTAACCTCTACCAAGGAAAGCCCTTGGGAGAGGACAGGGTGTCGCTTGATTGCGATGCCTACCATAGTCCAGCAGTAAGTAAATACTCACCACCAACGCTCCCAGATGAAATATTAGGTGGTGTATGAGAACAGCTTCTTTCGCACTGTTATTAGATTTCTGAATGGACCCCTCAAATTTTAAATTTAATGTTTATCTTGCTCTCTGTGCACCTTCTCTGCAGCCGTAACATTGTATTCCTCGTTCTATTCTATTACCCTCATGCACTTTGTATGGTACGCTCTGCCTGTACTGCACACAAAACAGAGCTTTTCACTGTACTAAGGTACACACGACAATAATAAATCAAATCAATAAAGGGTAGTTGTAGGAGGGTAACTGGAGCCTTTAAACCAGATTCTGAAGGGATCTTTAGAACTTTTAACTTTATTCCTTATTTCTTTCTACCTAAGTTTTTGGATCTAGGTAGCTGTACCTAAGATGATGCTGTGCATGGTGACATTGACAAAGTTTTCACTGTACTCGTGCACTTGAGTGCATGTGACAATAAAGTCTAAATCTAAGACGATGAAACAATACTTAAGCAAACATGTTGGATTGTAGAGTTAACACCGTGTGGAGCTGGAGGAACACAGCAGGCCAGGCAGGAAAGTTGATGTTTCAGGGTCAGGACCTTTCTTACTGTCCCTCTGATGCTGCCTGGCCTGCTGTGTATCTCCAGCTCTACTCCTTGTTATATCAGACTCCAGCATCTGCAGTTTTGCTGTCTCTTGTTGGATTGTATCTTGTCTAATGGGAAGCTGGGAGGTTTTTGAACTGCATTTGGATGCTGAGGTTGTGGTAATTCTCGTTTTGTCTTCAGGGGAGGCGGGAGAGATAGGGGAAGAAAAAAATCATCTTTGGTGACAAGTTGATTCTTTAAATGCGTTCTTTGAAATAGAGCAAGCTGGAACAGGCTGTCCTGAGGGAAGTCTCTCTCTGTCTCCTGTCGGCTGAGCCAGTTTCGAGGAGTTGACCCTTTCAGGCTTCAACAGCTAAACATCATCATTGTGAACCCTCCAACTGCCTTTGATGTGACACCCTGGCCTTAGGGGCTAGGCCTCTCCCAGATAGGCACAGGGGAGGCACAGCTGCTAACTCCTGCATTACACCATCGCCAATGTTACATCAGGCCCTGGCTGACATCAGGTCTTCACATGATCAGTCCCCAACCCCTCCCTAAGGCCTGCACTGCTCTGGGACACGGGCCAATGTGGGTGGTAAGTCCCACCCCAGTCAGAACTCTCACCTGTTTACCTTCACCACGCCCCACCCCCATCCCAGAGAAACAGGAGAGTAAGGAGGGGCCATCCGAATCCAGTTCAGGTCCAGCTGCCTGCCTCTGATTTTCAGCGATTACATTGATCAATCTGTTTGTGACAAACAGGATGATGAGGCAGAGTGGAGCTGGGATACAGGCCAGCTATGATCTGGGGGCAGCACGGTGGCTCAGTTGTTGTCATTGCTGCTACACAGTGCCAGGGACCTGGGTTCAATTCTACACTCGGGGCGAATGTCTGCATGGGTTTCCTCTGGGTGCTCCGGTTTCCTCCCACAGTTCAAAGATGTGCAGGCTAGGGTGGATTGGCCATGCTAAATTGCCCCATGGTGTCCACGGATATGTAGGCTAGCCATGGGAAATACAGAGTTACAGGGATGGAATGCTGCTCGGAGAGCCAGTGTGGACTCGATGGGCTGAATGGCCTGCTTCTGTCTTTAATTTCCCGTCAACTCAAACTACAGTGGAGCCATTTCTAACCTGTGCAGTCAGGGATTTAGTCTTTGTTTCTGAGCACAGTGTACACAGTGTAGAAATAAAGCATTCCACAGAATTCACTCCCTCCAGTACTGGCAGTGTGTATCTTTTATAAAATGCACTCTGATAAGGACAGCGGCTACAAGACCAGTGACAAAGGTTGCAAATCCTGCAGTGAGAAACTCACCACCTCACTCCTCAAAGCCCTGCCTGCCATCTACAAGGCACAAGTCAGGAGTGTGATGGAATACTGCCCACTTGCTCTGGATGAGTGCAGCCCCAACAACATTTAAGAAGCTCGACACCATCCAGCACAAAGCAGCCCCCGCTTGATTGGCACCACATCCACAAACATTCACTCCCTCCACCACCGACGCTCGGTAGCAGCAGTGTGTACCATCTACAAGATGCTCTGCAGAAATTCACCAAAGATCCTCAGACAGCACCTTCCAAACCCACGACCACTTCCATCTAGAAGAACAAGGGCAGCAGATACATGGGAACACCACCACCTCCAAGTTCCCCTCCAAGTCACTCACCATCCTGACTTGGAAATATATACGGGGTGCAGAGCTGGATGAACACAGCAGGTCAAGCAGCATCAGAGGAGCAGGAAGGCTGACGTTTCCGGCCTAGACCCTTCTTCAGAAATGGGGGAGGGGAAGGGGGATCTGAAATAAATAGGGAGAGAGGGGGAGGCGGAAAGAAGATGGACAGAGGAGAAGACAGGTGGAGAGGAAACAGACAGGTCGAAGAGGCGGGGATGGAGCCAGTGAAGGTGAGCGTAGGTGGGGAGGTAGGGAGGGGATAGGTCAGTCCAGAGAGGATGGACAGGTCAAGGGGGCGGGATGAGGTTAGTAGGTAGGAGATGGGGATGGGGCTTGAGGTGG